CCTATTGGGGTAACTATGAGTGACTGTGCAGAGAACTGGGTAGCACTTGAAGGTGTAGGCCTCGGCAATCTGATCCACAGACACTTAACATGTTGAACAGAATTTAGCTTAGCTTGCCAATTTATCAACCTTTGTCTAGTTAGTGTTCTTTTTTTTAGTATTCATTAATTAAATCTGTATCTGTTCCTGTATTCTTGATACCAGGATGCGACAACAAGCCTGAAGAAAAGAAAAGCAGTTCTGTTAATATTACATTAAGATAATATGGGTTGTGTGATCAAATCTGACAGCCCAGCTTGAAGGCTAGACTTGTTTTTTGTAGGAATAAAGAACTACGACTAAAAATTTGATTTAAAAAGAAAACAAACAAGTGCGGTGACCTCAATTGGATGAATTGTTTGAACGTTGCCGTTTCATTCCATCTTTTGTTGGAGTTGGGAAGCCACTTGGCAATTCTATCCGCATATTATTTATAAAATTTGGAAGGCTGCAAGGAAATGGCAAAATTGAATTGCATGTCTGCTGCGTAGTTGTGTTTGATTGATGTGGAAAAATGTTTTAGGCTGCAAATAAATCAAGTGATAGATGGAGGGCTAAATGCCCTTTTTAAATAATTACTGACAGAGTTTCCATTGTTCCCTTAGTCCGATTACGCAACAGCTTTTGTCCACAATAAAAGCTGCCAAGGATGACATTTGTTCCCTCTCTCCCATGCATGACTCTCCTTCAGTTGCTCGGTGACATTAAATCGCCAAAAGCATTTCTGTTTTTGTCTTTGCATATAGCGCAGACGTTAACTCACTTTGCAGAAGATAAGCAAGTTACAAAAATCAAATGACCTCATGCACATTTTTCCTATTGATTTCTTTTATAAATGGAGGAAGGTTTATCTCATTAGTTTGTTAAATTGCCTATTTGTAATCTTCTGTCTTGTCACCCATCAGTAAGGGAGGATGACTTCTAAGTGGTAGTCTCCAAAAAATAGTTAGGAAAAGATGAATAGGGTTTGCGTTGCAGTTGCAGGCAGGGAGAGGAAGAAAGACGGCAGAACATAAAACTGCAGGAGCCTGTAATAGAGTTTCCTAGACATTAATTAGCTGCAGCCATTCCTGTACAAACACACAGTAATAAAACTGATATACTGAGGTCCTCTCTTGCATTCCTTTTTCTTCCTTCTACTCTACTAGTGGCTTATTATTCCTTCTTTTCGTTATGTTGTTTTTTTTCCCAGTTTCTCCATCTATTTCATAGCTACCTAATGTACTTTTAGATATTATGTTCCTATTGTTTTCTGGTCGCTTACTGTCTCATCAGACGGTCTCCTCTGTTTGTTATTTCTCTTCCATTTTCTTATTATCTTTTCTGTCTTACTCTTGTCTCTCCACTGGAGAGAAACATCTGAAAGTGGCAGCATAAAGATAAATGGAGAAGGAGAAAAGGAGAGTGAAGGAAAAAAAGGAGATTAGGGAGGAGCTGGTCGCCCCAAGTCTTTATCTGTTCTTCCCTGTTTTGCTGAAGGGGAAGAAAAGATCTATTACAGCCTTGGTTTTACCATCTAACATACACTCCTAATCAGAAAATCCTGCAGTGGAGCAACCGCACTTACTGTGACAGTAGTGTCGGCTTGAACGGGTTTTGCAGACAGTCGAGCCCGGTTAAACACACACTCTTGCTCTATTTTATTACTTGTTTGTGTTGGCTGGGAGTCAGCAGAGGTAGCCAAGCAGCACAGCCATGAATGCTGCTTTCTACATTATGGTCCTTTCATATACTGCACTGTGACTCATCTTTCATCCCTACTCCACATAAATGATCATCACTTCTGAATTTCTGACTAGTAAGCAGTTGGCTGGACACTGCAATTCTGTATTAATTTTATCAGTGAGCTCACTGTACATAAGCACTAATGAGTGAAACAATTCTTCAGTGAGAATGTTTTTACTAAGGGAAGAAGACCTGAAGTCAGCTGGTCTGTTTTTTTTTTTTTTATCCACACCCATACTTAAAAAGAGTAAGTGTTAAAGGCTGAGCATATTAAGGCAAAGTTTCTTTGTTTATTCGTCCAAAGCGTCAAAATCTGTTCTGGAACAAGCTGGATTCAGAAAAGTTGGCAGCCAAATCTCGTAGTTGAGGCTACACTCTACTTACTCTACTGGAAATGCGTTCTCAATCTCACAGAGTGAGGAAAAGGTGCTGTGTGTTAGAGATTTCTTACATCAGTAAAAGATGACCTAAGTAAATAACATAATTTCAAACATATGAAATACATGAAACTGATAAAGCAATTTATTTACAAATCACTGATAACATCATGTAAACATGTTACAAATGGGTGTTGTTTTCAGAGGCAAAAAACTCCTTACTTTAAAATGATAAAAGGATGTTAAAAGGAAAGTAAGGATTTTAATTCTTTTTGGATATCTTACTGCTAAGATTATTAATTATGGTTAGGATAATGTTTATTTTGCTAATTGGTTAATCTGTTGATTCTTTGTTCAATTAATAATCAGATGGCTAAAGGTTCCTCATCTCAAAGAAGATTTTTTTACAGAATTAAACCAGGTGAAACTAAAACTTTACATTTAAGGAATTCTGAATAGAGCATGTTGGCAGAAGAAAATGTTTTTTCTTTAATCTTAAATGCAATATATATATATATATATTAGAGATGTCCCGATCCAGGTTTTTGCATTTCCGATCTGATACCGATATTGTTTTTGGACTTCCGATCCGATACCGATACTGGCCGATACCAGCCTATCCGAGCATGTATTTAGGTTTAAGTTAAAGTATTTAGCCTTAGTTGTAAGACTCATGTTGAAAAGGGTTTTAGTACTCTTGATAACATCTAGCCAGCTGAATTAGGTGAGATTGAATAAAACACAATGATTGGTAAAAACAAACTTACCTGTTTATTAAGAGATAAACTGGACAAAATTATGAATAGCAACCTAATATTGTAAACAGTTAAAGGTGCTATATTACTGTAAGTTTTAATAAAAATGCAAAACAGACAAGAGTGGAAAATAGTCTATTAACTTAGAATCAGGACTCTACTCTTGAAAAAAGACACTACTTAAAAAAAATCAGTGCAAATAATAGTTACACAAAAATGCCTTATACTCCCCAATGTCCTCCACACCTAGTCTCCATCTACACATCGTGCAGGATAAAATAATCCCACACGGCTGACATTTTCCCCGCTATCTTCCAATTCACCTGTTTTAATGGTTAGGCTGGGAGACAGACCCAAAAAGACCTGTGGTCTGGAAAATACGGACCGGATTCGGGGAACACTGGTGCAAAATAGTGGAATGGATTGTTTCAATCGGCGAAACTGGAAAATACGGACAGAATTTTTTTTAGAAACTGGATCGACAGTCTGGATCGGCATTTTTACATGCTTTGCCGGTACGCATTTTTTTGCTAATATCGGCGTCCGATCCGATATGTGGATCGGATCGGGACAAGCCTAATATATATAATATAATATGTAGATGCTGTTGTACCTGTGGGGCACTTGGGGCACCCTCAAGCTCCCAGGCCTCTGGTAGAGGACCCCAGCTTGGAGGAAGGAATAGGATATATATATATATATATATATATATATATATATATATATATATATATATATATATATATATATATATATCAATGCAATTTACAGATACAATTCAACCGGATCATACAGTCAAACTGATTTAAAGTTTTCCATCTAAGCAAAAACCACTTAATTGCGTCGACTCATTGACTCAAAGGCAATCCCTCACACTAAGCATGCTTGTACCGACAGTGGAGAGGAAAAACTCCCTTTTAACAGGAAGAAATCTCCAGCAGAACCAGGCTCCGTGTGCTGAGGCTGTCTGGGTTTCAAGGAAACAGAAGCGGAGATACAGAAATAAGCAGAGATGCAAAGGGAACTTTACACACCCAGCTTCTGTTATTTGCTCTTTTTGAACCTGTTTCTCGTTGGTGGTCTTATATAAATATCATAAGTAGGGATGTAGTGAGATGACACTAGTTTTACAGATTCAGAAGATACTTTGAGCTGTGGAACAACAAAACAAAGCTTTTAAAAGAAGATGGGATGTAGAGCGCCATGTTACCGCTTGCTTTTTCTTTTATGTTTTGTTTATTCTTGATGCCCTTCACTTTATGACTTACAATATCACTGCTGCAGGTCCCAGAATAGACAGACAGAGGCTCTATGTGTGAGAATGATCATCTGCTTTGATACACCCACTCCCCCAGGTCTCATAAACACCACATCCGAGCGCACCTTGTTTATTTCTGGAATCCTCCTACATGCAGGGATTTGAATGTGTCTCTATTTACATCTACTTTGTTTGCGCTGACCTTTAAAGGTTTCAGGGTTAATGTCAACATTTTATTGCAATGATTACCTTTTTAATGCCTCCTCTTGCTTCCTTTTGCTCTAACTCATTATGGCTATTTCTGCCTTTCTTCTCCCATCAGTGGCTGCATATACAGCTATGCTCAATTTTGCTCTGCAACATCTTCATATATGGGGATAGACATTGTTCAAAAATCATGTTACTTTTTTCCAAGTGCTACTTTCTGTCGCTGCCTGCTTTTGGTTAAAGTGGGCATCCTTAGACAACTCTGTAATCTCCTAACTCAATTTGAAGATCACCAGAGCAGGGAAATACCAGTTATTGCAATACATAATTGTTTTGTTATTTAAAAATGAAGTCAATGGGTGTTGTGGGGGTGTTCACAGGTTCAAAATGTCAACAGTTGGGCTATTAATTGAAAAATCAGTGTGTGTTTTTTTTGTTGCATTTATTTCTACTCTGCTCATTACCGTGTATATCAAAAAACAAACAAAAGCAAAAGTCAAAATCTATTTGAGTGTACCTTAAGTCATCACCAAAGAAAAAAAAAAGGTTTGTAAAATCACTTCCACCCATGGATAAATGTCATTTTTAAGTCAGGAAGCAAAAATGTTCTTACTCACCCCCCTTTTTTCTTGCCTCCAGGTGTTTCGTACAGACCTCATCACGGCCATGAAGCTGCCAGACTCAGCCCAGCTCGGCCCAGACGACTTCTACGTGCTGTCAGACCCCTGGAGACAAGAGTGGGAGAAGGGAGTGCAGGTCCCAGCCAACCTGGAAGCCATACCAGAGCCTGTGGTCAGGTAGGATGGATTTATATCTAAAGATGGCTTTCTGGAGGGGCTGGTTTAACTGTGAGCATGCAGAAGGCTATTTATCATATTAAATTAAATGTTTTTTTTTTTCAGCTGAAGTGAAAGGTGAACTGTTAAGACCAGTATTTTTTGTTTTTTGAACAGCATATTTTGAGCTTTTTCCTTAACAAGACATAATCCATTTTTGCACAAAATGATAATTCTCAAATGTTTACTGTTTGAATCAAATGCTGATTTTACCTGCCTACTATTTAAAACTCTTCAAGAAATTAGTCATTGTATAGACCATGTTAATAAATCTGCATTCCATGCGGACATAATGATTATAATGAAATAAAAATGGCAGATGAAAATGGTTCAACATTGTAAACAAACTGGGGTTGAGGATTAGACAAACACGTGAGACAGAGATGTGCTGAAAAATCAGCTTCTAATGAACATAGGAGAAGTTCCTATCATTGTTGTGATGCCAATTATTTTTTTATTGGATTATTGAGATGTTTAAATATTAAAAATGTATCCCTCTTTGTACATCTTTTTATAGAACCATGTTCTAATTGGTAAAAAATGTTTTGTTTTAATTACAAGAAATTTAAACAATATATTTGAATGACTTTTGCCTAATCTACCACACTATAAGAGATACATATTATAAGCTGCTGGTGAGTGCTTTAGTTTTGAACTGCTGACATCGTTTACTAAATATATAATTGCAAATGAACTGGAATGTTTTACAGCAGTTCTTGAATACAAATGAAATCGCACACAAACTGCAGAAGGGGTTTTTACTTAAAGCCAAAATGGCTAAATCCCACTTCCTTATGTTCCCCAAATTATTTAGCTGGTCTGACCAAAACCAAGAAAAACTTTCATTCCATTGAGAATTGATGTTTTAAACTGGAGTCGATTTCCTCATCGGAATTAGCAAAACATTGCACAGTTTTTAAACCTACGGACATAATTCATACATTTAGGCCATTTGAACACAAAGGAATGAGAAGGGAAGCAGGTTTGAATTTTCACATGCCTTATATACAGACATAGATGTTAAGGTGGTTGGCAGATGTGTCTGAGTTTTACATTCATCCCCCTCCTTGTGCCAAAGATCATAGACCTTTCTGATTTCTAGTACTCCCAGCAGCTGCTCAACATACCCATGTGGTTTTTTTGGCATTCGAGGAACTAATGAAAATGCTCAGACTACCCAGTAATGCTTGTAGCCCCGAGAGGCCACACACTCGCACACAATCTCATTCAGAGCTTCTGGAAGACAGAATATTTAATGAATTTTCCAGAAAGATTTGGTCAAAAGTTTTATTATTTTTACCAGTCAGAAGAAATGCAAAAAAAAGCAGATCTGCAAAACATTTTCGTCAAAATTGATTTCATGACTCATATTCTTCGACTAAGAGGCATTTTCTGGTGTTTTTATAATGGGTCAAAATATTACAGGTACAAAGTTTCAATGATGATGTGTCTTTATAATGTTTTTTTTTTTCAAGGTTTTTTAAAATTAAAATTAAAAGCTTGAAATTTCTTGTTTTTTCCTATAGAAGAGAAATCAGTAGAACAGGAACTGAGAGACCGCCTGTAATGTAAAGTTTGAGAAAGCTTGAATTTAAATTTGTTGTTTACTTTTAAAAGATCCCTTTTAATCGCCAAAAATAATGAAGAGATGATACATATTTGGGTTGCATTCAATTGAATTAGGTTTTACCCATAGATTGTAGCCTGGGTGCCAGTCCGAACTTAGTCCCGCCCACAAGGTTTGAGTTCGGGGAAGTTCGGTCTGGCTCTGCTCCATAGTAGCGTGAGTATTATCGCCCACTGTCAGGCGATCCAATCAAATTGTCAGGGCGGGCTTTATACGATGATGGACAGATGATCAAGAGTAACGCTATCAACCACGTGACCAAAGCGCGCTTGGGTGACAACAATAATGGCTGCCGCTGGAGAGTTTGGGTGAGTAGATTCTGCTATTAGGTCTGTTATTAATTTTAAAAGAGGAACAGAGAAACGCGATCAAGTCTCATCTTCTTATTCTAGGCGTGAAACTGCACGCTTTGATTTTTGTGGACAACAACTATGCCTCGCTTAAGATACGTCACGCACTCCGTTGCTCTTATTGGTTGAAGGTCTATCCAATTGAGTGCAGAGGCATTTTTTTTCCTGGTTCGTTCAAAACACGCCCCATAATCACAGCTCTATGGAGCAGTATCAGACTCATATTCTGACTAGAATTGAGTCGGACTACGTCAGGCTACATAGATTGGAGAATCCTGACAAAAGATCTGATCTGATCTATTGTAGGTCTGGCTCTATATTCTGGCTTGTTGTCCTAGAAAGTAATGCTCTAGCTATATATATATATATATATATATATATATATATATATATATATATATATATATATTTTTTTTTTTTTTGTTGTTGCATCAACTTCAGGATTGTCTATTTTAAGATTATGTTTAACTCGATCCATCTTCCCATTTAATGTGCAAACTTGCATGTCATTGCTAAGAAAAGAAAAGCATTGCTCTAGCATGATGCTGCCACTACCTTGCTTTACCAGGTTCATGGTGTGCTCAGCATGTTGCACAGTGTTGCTTTCCCTCCAGGTGATTTGTAAAGCTTAAAAGGTTGAATTTTGGTCTCATTTGATCAGATGACCGTCTTTCTTGTGTTTTGCAGTGTCCCCCACTTTGGTTGCGGTCACCATGGGCCTTATACAGTAGCAGCATCTCTGACTAGTGTTCTCTTTTGCAAATCTGTCAGTTTGGGTGTAAAGCCATTTCTCTGAAAGTTATCTGTGCCCTTCTCTCTCCAGTTTTTAGGTGATCAAGCAACATCCTTGACGTTTCTAAAACCAAGGAAGCAATTTCATAACCTAACCCTTTTTTAAACTTGTCCATATTTTTCCTAACCTATCTGCTGTGTTCTTTGGTCTTCATAGTGCTGTTTGTTCAGGAATGTTTTCTAACAAACCTTGAATAAAGTTTGCACAACTCTGAAAGGAAAAGAGGATGGATAGATGATTGCACGGTCCTAGAGAACACAGATAGTACATTCTTTCAGCTACAGCACATGCCGTCAGACATGATAGCATGTTGCCAAAATGCATTCACAATTAAATTCATAAAGAACCTTGAAGGGCTGGTTATCTAACAAATCTCTAAAGCCTCAGCTGGATAAAGTCCACAGAGGTGATCTTTATAGAATATTGCTATTAAGGCTGGAGGTTGTGCTAGATTTCATTTTAAGCATTTGTTTACAGATCAACTATTACTGCTCAGCTTTCCTGCCAGAGGAATATATTCAGTGGGTAGGTGCTGTTAATTTATGCTGTATGCTACCAGCAGACCAAGCAGAGCCTGGGGGCAGAAAAAAGGGAAAGATGGATGGTTGAATTGGGGCTTATCTGTCAGCTGATGTGATAAAATGATGAAGTGAGGTACAGTGAAGTTGTAATGGAGTGATGACGGATAGATGGTGAGATAGTGAGAGTGTGACTGAGATCTGTCTTGGTTTTTTTTAAAGTATTATGGCATATAGACTACCCTTTTTTGTTCTTTCCTGCTTTGTTCATAGTGTTTCTCTTATTGATAATTTTAGGTGTCTAAAATTCATGTTAGCTGGTCATCAACTCTGTGGAGTAAAAGCTAATCATTTCAAACATCACTATCTTGCTGCTAAAAAAAACATATTTTTTGTATATTCTGTATTTTTCATAGATTTAAGCAACAATAAACTAAAAGACAACATTCTTTGTGACTGTTGGCATTCCAAAGGGAGGAAACCTTCACCGGTGCAGACTTAGCATCTGCATTGCATAACATGAGATTCAATTATGTTTCTTTTCATTGCTACGTTTGCGTAGCACCTATGTAATTTGGGCGGGAGTAGATGAAGGGAACTGTATTTTTAAAAATATTTTTAAATTATTTGACATGTCAAAAAACGTAGACAGCTATCTGTGTTTTTTTTTGTTTTTTTTACATACGACTGAGTATAAGGGCCAGGTTAGAGATATTCTTTCTTTTTTTAATACGAGAATAAAGTTACAATATTTTCAGAAAAAAAGTTGTAATATTACAAGAATAAAATCGTAACTAGTGAGAATAAAGTTGTACATTTACTAGAATAAAGTCATAAAATTACAAAAATTAAGTTCATACAACATCATCAAACCACAACCCATTTTAGAAAAGTTCGAGTTCCGACCAGCATGACTGCCGACCAGAACAACCAAACAGCAACCTGAGTCCACTTTGATAAACTGCCCAGTTTGATGCTACAGTTTGATGCTAGTGTGCTAAAAGATTTCCTTATTTGTCAGACTGATGCCAAAGTATAACTTTACATGATGCTAGATTCTCCATATTTTCTGGAAGCAAGTGGTTTTTGTAAGATTTGTCATAAAATCCAACTTTATTCTCTTATTTTACGACTTTATTCTCATGATTTTTTTACTTTATTCTCACAATATTACGATTTTATTCTTGAATGAAAAAAGAAATATCTAACCTGGCACTAATACTTCATCGTATGTAATGCACATTATTTATTTAACATTTTTGTTGTTCTTTGTCATAGAAATGCAAATAAAGCACCCAGTCATATATAGGGGAGAGGGTATAGTTTCTGCCCTTGTCCTCACTTTGACCCAATGCGTTAATTTGCACATCTTATTCTGTCCTTTCTTTTTCCTATTTAACCCTCTTCCTTTATTGAAGTTGTGCTGGAGGCGATGACACATATTTCTGTTTCTATTTTTCTTATTAATAATGATATAACCGCTAAAAATGGTGGAAGAGGAAAAGGACTCCAGGCAAAGTCTGTCTTTGACACATTCTTTCATGTTTCTCTCTTTCTATATTTGGTGTCATGGCTTGATTGTTTGTAAAAGACAGGCTTTGAAGATGAAACACTTTACTCTTATTTTTCTCATTTTCGATGATGCATGGAAAGAAAAACGTTTTTTAATTCCT